ACCCACTGAGCTATCTTGCTGGCCCCCAGTGGCTTTTAATTTTATGAAAGTCATGGTCTTTTTCTAAAATCTCTTTTGTCTCCAGAACTTGAACTTTTGCCAGATCTTGCAGCCAAGTTGCAAAGAGACCATTTAAAACTATGTAGCCAATCTGTTTTGCTGTGAGATGGTCTTTCTGTACACTGAATATGTGTTGCTATGATTGGTTAATAAGGAAGCTATTATGGCCTATGGCAAGGCAGAATAGATCCAGGCAGGGAATCCAAGCAAAGAGACAAAGAGAAGAAGGCAGAGTCAGAGGAGGCATTGAGCACTGTTTGGGGGAGCAAGAGATAATGGAACACAGGTAATACCACAAAGCCACTTGGCAAAACATAGATTAATAGAAATGGGTTAATTTAAGGTGAAAGAGCTAGCTAGCAAGAATCCTGTGCCATAGACCAAACAGTTTGTAATTAATATTAAGCCTCTGGGTGATTATTTTAAAAGTAGCTGTGGGACTGTGGGTGGGAAAGATTCGTCTGGACCACAGGGCTGGGTGGGATATAGAAACTTCTGGCTATGCTATTTCCCTACTGTGTATATTCGATCTGCTTAAGTTTATCTTGCCTTTAAGAAAACATTGTTAGGAGCTGGAGAGATGGCTCAGAGGTTAAGAGCACTGGCTGCCCTTCCAGAGGTCCTGAGTTCGATTCCCAGCAACCACATGGTGGCTCACAACCATCTGTAATGAGATCTGGCTCCCTCTTCTGGCCTGCAGGCATACATGCAGGCAGAACACTGTATTCATAATAAATAAGTAAACCTTAAAAAAAAAAGAAAACATTGTAACCAATCTCACTTTGCCTTGAACTTCCTTTCCGTCTTGGTTAGTTTTTGTCATCCTGACAGTAGCTAGGGTCTTCTCCAAAGAGGAAACCTCAACTGAGGAAATGCCCCATCAGATTGGTATGTAGTCAAACCTATGGAACATTTTCTGGATTGATGTGGGTGTGCCCAGCACACTGTGGGCAGTGCCATTCCTGGGCAGGTGGTCCTGAGGTTTATAAGAAAGCAAACTGAGCAAACCAGGAGAAGCAAGCTAGTAAGCAGCACTTCTCCATGGCCTCTAGTTCAGATACCTGCCTCCAGGTTCCTGCCTTGAGTCCCTGCCCTGACTTCTCTCCAAGATGAACTATTAAGATCTAAACTAAAATAAACCCTTTCCTCCCCAAGTTGCTTTTGCTTATGGTGTTTGTCATAGTGACAGAAACCTAACTAGGGCACTATGTAATCAGAGTTTTACAACATAAGCTAAATGTATGGCTTTAATCTCAAACTGTATTCTTCCATATCCCTGATCCAGAATGTGTGTGTGTGTGTGTGTGTGTGTGTGTGTGTGTGTGTGTGTGTGTATGTGTGTGTGTTGGTAATCACTTGTTGAAAGTAGCCAGAAGATTGAAAGCAACCTTAAACAAATATCTATCATAAATGTTGGAAGCAACATATAGAAAGTTTGATAATATCTGTTTGTGGTTCTGAGTGCTATTCTGGGTCAATTGGCATCAGGAAAATAACTTCCTGACTTGTAAAACTCAAAGAGTTTTGTAAATTCCCTTCACGTACTGTATTTTCTGGGCTACTCAGTAAATATAGAGCAAAGCCTTTTGTTAGGTATAGACAATAGGGACAGGTAGACATCACACACATATATGTGCACACATGCACACACACTCATACACAACAGGCAAACAACAGACAGAACACAGAACTCAAAGTACACATAGATCTAAACTACCTTAACTTTAAGACTCTCTATTATTTAATGTAGCACTAATGCAAAATGTGTTATGCTTTATGTAATCACTGAGAAGTATTGTTTAATATTATTCTAGTTTGTTCATTTTGATTCATGTTAAACTTCCTTTTTTTATTTTTTTTCAAAAAAGAATAGTATTGTACTTCAGTGCATAATTTCTGTACAACTGAGTATTAAAACAAGTGCATAAAAAGATCTGCAATACATGATGACCTGCTTACAGACTTATTCATAGATGAGCTTCTGAATAAGCAATAAGGAGACTTCCTACAGGCTAGAGAGGTCTCCCAGTGGTTAGGAACATTGGGCCCAGGTTTGATTCCCAGCATACACAAGGTGGTTCAATGAGACTACATGGAAAATGAAAAGAAACAAAAATAAAAAAATGAATGTTACAATCTGACAATATTAACATAACTAGAGAGTACTTTACTTGTACTCTTACATTATCAGTAACTAAAAATAAATGGAGCCCCCATGGTACTGGACTAGGCCCTCTGGATAGGCGAGATAGTTGTTGAGCTTGGCAGTGGGATTGGGACCCATCCCTAGTGCATGAGCTGGCTTTTTGGAGCCTAGTGCCTATGGTGAGACACTTTACCCAGCCTTGGTGCAGGGAGGAGGGACTTGGGCCTGCCTCAACTGAATCTACCAGGTTCTGCTGACTCCCCATGGGAGACCTTACCTTTAGAGGAGGTGAGAATGAGAGGTGGGTTGAGGGGGAAGGCTGGGGGGCGGGAGGAGGGAGGACAGGAGAATCTGTAGTTGGTATGTAAAATGAATGGAAAATCTCTTAATAATAAAAAAAAGCAAAAAAAAAACCCCACAAAAATAAATAAATATGCGGTTAACTAATGTTTTTGTAGTTTTTGGAAATGGCCAGATATAATTCACACACTGGATGCACTTACTCCAGTTAGGGCATTTATTCAAATGTAGATTTTGTATACTTTGCCATGATACTTCCAAGCCATAGGAATTACTCTGAACTGTCTGTAATATTCATATTTACATGTAACTATATTTACTACATATAAAATGTGGATATTATATCTCATCTCATAATAGTACATTTGCATAAAATGTTTATGAACAAAATACTATAAGAAGGATCAGAAAACACCATCAATGGCAGGTAACATTGTGTATTAAAAGTAGAAGATACTTTACAAGTAAAAATACAGTTTCAAACAATTCTGTTCTAGATGGACTCTACGTTTTATTTTATTCATTTTTGAGACAGTCTTCCTATGCAGCTCAAGCTGGCCCTGGTATGTCTGGCATTGGTGGTGTGCTACTGCTTCTGGTTCTTGTTTCCAGGTATTGCTCTTGTAAATAGGATGCCTTGGATATCTGAAATTTCTCACGTGTTTCTCTTGAATATATTCCTAAGGCTAGACCTGCTAGATTATGAGCTATGTGAATATTCATTATGAGATGGAGGCCCCATAGCTATTGGTCCACAGTTCATGAGTTCCCACTAGTTTGGTTTGATTATCTCTGTAGGTTTCCCCATCATGAGCTTGATGTCTCTTGCTCATACCAGATTTTTTTTTTTTTTTTTTTTTGGTTTTTTCGAGACAGGGTTTCTCTGTGTAGCTTTGTGCCTTTCCTGGAACTCAGTTGGTAGCCCAGGCTGGCCTCGAACTCACAAAGATCCACCTGGCTCTGCCTCCCGAGTGCTGGGATTAAAGGCGTGCGCCACCACCGCCCGGCTCATACCAGATTTTAATATGGTGTATTTTCATTTATTGCTTTTTAAAATTTCCTTAAGATGTTTATGACCCATAGTTTCTTTGACAATATTTTAAGTTTTAAGTACTTGAAGATTTCTTATCTTTCTGTTATTGATTTCAAGTTTGACATTATAATCAGAGAAAATACATGAAATGACCTTGTTTTATAATGTTTTATGATCCCAGGTATTTTCTATCTTGCAAAGTGTTCAGTGGGCTCTTGAAAAGAACATGCATTTCAATGCTGCATTCCTATACCCCTGGTACTAAGGAGGGTGAGGTAGGGTTATGAATTCAAGGCTAGTTTCCACTAATAGAGTTTGAGGCAAGCATGGGCTAATTAATGAAATCCTCCTGTCTCAGAAAAACAAACATTAGTGCTTTGCTAGAAATAGCTGAGCATGTAAAAAAAATCCATTTTCTGTCAGCAGAGTAAGCATTTTGCAAATTCTATCTTAAATACATACTTTAAACTTGTCAAAATCTCTCACATTTTCTGTTCCATTAGGCCACCTTTGCTTAATCTTTTACAAAAGAAAGGGCATTTCTTGAAGCCTTTTTGTTGTGGTGGTTATTTTCTGTTGAGGATTCGGTATAAATTTCTCCAGCATCTTTAGGTGATATTTGGAAGTGAAAAAGAAAATGCATTGTTTCTCATGTTGCATATAAATTATCCACTATTTCTTTCTACTTTTTAGAAATACCTATTTGTTATTGCCATATTACGTCATCATCACTCCCTACTGCACCTTGGTCTCTTTCAAATTCACCCATTTCTGTTGTCTATTTTCTTTTTTTTGAGATTTATTTTTATTTTATGTGTATGGGTGTTTTGCTTGCATATACCTCTGTACACCACATGCATAGGCAGTGCCTGAAAAGGATAGAAGAGGACTTAGATTCCCTGGAACTGGAGTTAGAAACAGTTGTTAGCAACCATGTGGGTGCTCAGAACCAAACCTGGTTTTCCTGGAAGAGCAGTGAGTGCTTTTAACTGCTGAGCCACTTCTCTCTCCATTTCCTTGTCTTTTTTCTTCTCTCTCTCTCTCTCTCTCTCTCTCTCTCTCTCTCTCTCTCTCTCTCTCTCTCTCTCTCTCTCTCTCTCTTTCTCCTTTGATTTTTCAAGAGAGGTGTTGTCTATATATGTATCCCTGGCTGTCCTGGAACTCACAGAGATCTGCATGCCTCTGCCTCCTGAGAGCTGAGCTTAGAGGCTTGTGCCACTACACCCAGCTGTGAATGTGAACTTTGAAGTAAGGTAGACTGGTTGTAACTTGTAATCCCTAACCTTCTGTTTCTGCACATAGAAAGTACAGAAACAAGAATTATTAATATGTAGATGAAAGGTTTTGTGCAAATTATAAGACATATCTACCTGCCTTTGCATATTAATGGGTCCTTATACAGGGTAATTAGTCTTTATCTGGAAAGCTTGGGATCAGAAATGTTTTGTGTTTCTTTTTCAGATTTTGGACCACTTCCATTTAACATGAAGAGGTATAATGAGGCTGAGATCCAAATCTATAATTGAACTTCTTATGTTTCATCTCTACCTTACAGCTTAACTTGAAGGTAGTTTATGTAATATTTTTTGCAACCTTGTTTTGACTGTGATCCTTCACAGTTAAATGTGGAATTTTACATCTCCATATCATGTCAATGTTTAAAATGTTTTGGGTTTTATTAAATTTGTGACTTTGAGATTCAGAATGCTCAACCTGTATAAGAGTACCTGCTGATATGTGCTCTATTTTCATTGTGCCAGTCTTACGCTAAGTGCCTCATAAACATCATTTCATTTTAATTTTTACGGCTGCTCGAGATAGTTTTTATTCATTTAAAAGTAAAACTCAAAAGAAACATTTTTATAATATCATGCCTAAATATTGTAAAGCTAAAATTTAAATTTTTATTAATCTTATTAGAAATGTCTCATTTTCCTAATATTCTACTTTGAATCAATATTTCTGGGACTTTGTCTACTGTGGGTGTCCAGTAGATACTGTAAAGTATCCAGTGGATTGAACTGTACTTTGGCACTATCATATGTTTAGTAGCAGATGTTGTATGATTCTGATAATTTGTACACTGTCTTTTCAGGTATCTTTGAGTATCTGTGGAGTCCCAATGAGAAATCCCATAGCAAAGACTGTGGGATCTTACTTCTGACCCCAGAAGATCTTGTTAAGTCTACAGACTTCAACAGAATTGGAGAATCTGAACAGAGCAGAGTTACCAACAAGAGAGCCCAGGGATAGCATTAACATGGTGGCCACCCAAGACCCTCCTCAGCCAGTGAGACATGACAAGGCCTGTGAGGTGAGGGGAAAAGAAAAGAGATCGAGGGGGTAGGATTTTGTTTATGCTGAACTTCTGAGGTTTAAAGAAAAACATAATTTTATGTGCATGTCCCCCAACCCTGATAGCTACATTTTAGTAGGGTCTACATGAAGCTATAACCAAACCTTTTAAAGAACACTTTATTATTTTAAGTGTGTGGATGTTGGGCCTGGATGTATGCCTGTGTACAACATGAACACAGTGTCCACAGAGAACAAAAAAGCAAAAAAGGTCATCAGATCTCCTGGGACTGGAGTTACTGTTTGGTTTTTTGTTTGTTTTTTTTTTTTTTTT